CCTTGAACGTTGAGGTATTTTACAAGACGGCCCGAAAATGAAGAACTTGGACCTCTACACATTGATAATAACGTTGCTTCTGATTCAGGACTTCTCAATCGCCAGGAACAACGGGCTTTCTCGAATGACCGTTGCACCATCCGTTACCCGTGGATACCCAGAGTAACCAGAAGAAGACTGGAATGTTAGCGCCATGTAAACTGGTAAAGTAGTCTTTTTCCCTTCCAGTCTCCATTTAAATAAGAAAAAAACGACACAGTGGTTGGGCAAACATGACTGGTCTACACTGCCAAAACTCCCATCGCTCGGAATTTTTTAAGGGGAAAGTTGAAGAGAGAGTTGAGTCCGTTATGCCGTCCACTAGCATTCATCCGAACTATGACTTTTAAAATACGATGCTAGGCTAAAAGTGTATCAGATTAATTTTAGGGACAAAATGTCAAGGATAGATTTCTTTCCCTCCCCGTCCATCATAATTCAATGAAGAGGTAATATCGAGACGGCTGGCAATGAGAGAAAGAGCAGTGGCTAACTAACCTTACCATCCCATGCACCGAATTATATTACACTGCAGAGGGCGGCTCATGTCAGGTCAGCCCATTACCCACACTGTTATCGTTAGGAGTTTGCTCGATTCTATTCTGTCCGCCCATCAGCTTCCTGCTGGCGACAACAAACGTCGTGTCATAGGACACATGCCATATACAATTTGCTTATGAAAGAGGGCTACCTGCTTACTCGATATGTCTATAAACCTAGGTTCACAAGGCTTATGGCGTGCTGATGACCTATAATGACTGTGAAACAGCTGAATGAACGAAGACTGTCGCACTTTTAACTAGCATAGGGTTTACGGGGTTTCATTAGGTACCTCATAAAGGAAAATGATTCACGTGAATTAAGCCTCACCTTTCTCGAACATCAGTGTAAACAATGACACTGAAGTTGAGGAAGAATCCTGGATCATTGTCTAAAAGCTCATCCAGAGTCTAAAGGAGTAGAAGAATGGCAAATTCGGTTTTACCTCCACAACAAAGGCTCCCTTAACGTCCTGATTCAGTTCCGAAATCAACTCAGTAACTGCCTGGGCTCGTGGCTATATAAGAAAAAGGGTGTCCAGTTCGGTTTTTAGTCACTTACCTTTCCAAGGTACGCTTTAGTGACAAAGAAGCTGTAACCCAAAAGGAGAGTTAACTGTTCAGACTCATAAAAGGGCAAGCTTACTTGTTTCCTAGATCATTTTCAGTCACGAGAGCACTGTCAACGATGGTAAAGTTCCCAACGCCTTTCGAGTAAATACAAAAAATAAAGTAAGACGAATATGAATACCGGGGAGAACAAGATTTTTCAGCAGTTCGGAACCCACTGCACCGGCCCGGATGACGCAGATTCGGACTCCTTCAAGGACTTCCTGGCCACGATCGCCCCAAAGGCGCAGTTGCCGATCATATCGCTGCTCCTTTGCTTGAGAAATTGTGGTAACTGTCATTCCCACTATAGCCGGAGGAGATGGAACTAAAACGGAAGAGGACGTTGCTAACGGCTTCCGATTAATTTTTGGGCAGTTATAAATAAACAAATAAGAGGTGGCGGTTTGGGAAAATTTGTAACCCAAATAAAACTATGCCGCGGTGATTTTTTTCATCTTAATATAAATGACCTCATTCGACGTCAAGGTAGTCGACGAAAATGAGCTAGGTAGATAGGATGCGAATTCGCAAGAAGACTGCACTCCGTTAGAATGCTAACTACAGGCCAAAAATTAAGTATTTGTCGGCGACGTTTGGAATATTCAAGATATTTTATTCCAGAAACAAGAAAGAAAATGGAGGGCTGACGTGTAATCCAAACTGACATGGTGATACGCAGGGTTAGTAGGATGTAGCTAGACAAACACAGCTGAACGCAGGCATACGAGACTAGAAAAGAGGAAAATGACCAGGAAGCCATGATAAGCAAAAACGAAGAAGTTAATTTGAACTGCCATAAATCGGGCAGTTGAATGTACACAGTACATGTACACACAGTCAGGAACGTCGAGAAATCAACTCCCTGATTACGTTCTGATGTGAAAAAATGATATTTTTTGTACCTATGAGATGGGTAAAATTCAGTTGGGAGGGATAGTGAGTGAACAAGAAAATATTTGATAGCTTTGTTGAACTTAGGCAGTAGGGGGTCTGACCGTAAAAATTAAGTTTGAAAACATGAATATCCGCGGAGCTGTGGTTGACAAATGCAATGTCAATTTTGTCTAGGTATCACATTGTTGTCAGCACTTCGATTCCTCTTGCAGTAAGGTTTAAAAGTTAATTACTTGTTTGTACATTCTATATGACGCATATTGCAGACGAGCCCAAACTGCGTGCACTTTAAAGTGGAGAACCCGCTGCGAATGCCTGAAATTTAGTACGGAAAGAGCTCAGAAATGACAAGGCCGGTCGCATGGACAACTTACAAATATTCTTTGAAGCGGAGCTGCGAATTTTCTGGTCTCCAAAAAATGTCTGTTACCCAATATCTCAGGACACTTGTCACGGAATGATAAGTGCACAGGTAGAAGAACCATATTGTAGTAGAAAATAAGGTATCTAAGATGTCTCGATGCAACGTTTCAATTTCACGGGTCAACCCCACTCTATTTGGCCAAATTGGCCTGTTCTCGTTTGAGAGAATTTTCCCACAGAAGACTCGATGCCGATGTAGAATATTGGAGATGTGAGCACATGAGTTGGCCAGTTAAATTTGTGAACATTCTTATAAACACAATCTAGCAGTTTAAATGCGACTATATGGCTAGTTATCCGGTTAGCAGCCTGCACAGGTGAAGAAAACTTGCTACCAATGTCACGTAGAGGGTTATAAGATTCACTGATCGTACTCAATCACATAACTAGTCAGGAAGTATATAAATAACGTCAGGTTTACCTGGCGTTAAACGTATAATTGTACTTGAAGCAATAAAGGACGCGCATTGTCCACTCGGTTTAAGTGGTTTTGAGTTCATTAAAGTAACGAGGACTTTCTGCACACGAAAGAATTTTCTACACCAACCCTGGTAGGTTCGCTTTATCCTCCTAAATATCTATCCTGACAGCGATTTCCCTGTGTAGTTTGCATACAGTGCTGGATGGTTTTACGTATGGTGATTGGCGGAGGTAAATCAGTGCGTACATATAAGAGCGCGCAATGCAAGCCATTAAAATGAGCCTAAAAGCACTGGAGCCGGCAAGAGCATTTGCTCTAGAAA